AGCCCTTATGTATCACTCTTCTAAGCACTGTCATTTATTTAATCCTTATGACAACCGTATGGGGTAAGGACAATAGGGAAACTCGGGCATGGTGGCCCACATTTGTAACCCCAACACTTGGTAAGCTGAAGCAGGAGAATCACTGTAGTTCAATGCTAGCCTGAGATGCACAGTGAGTTCAAGGCCAACCTGAACTACAAAGCAGAACCCTGTCTCAAAAAAAGAAAAAGTAAAAAAGATAGATGGCACAAATCAGGGTAAGACGAAACCAAGTAACTTGCTCAAGACCCCAGGGCTCTGAGAAAAAATAGCGGTACCCCTAAGCATCACAAGGCTATGGGGCAAACCAGACAGCCTGAGTGCGGCAGCAGGCGGAACTCTGCTCCATCAGGAGGATTCTGCTACTCACTAAGCTGAGCAGAAACCCGAGCAAGAAGCTGAGAGCAGTCATGCCCTTTATACAGAATGCGCGGAAGTTCTTTTGGTGGGCAGACTGCCTGGCAGGACCTCAGGACACTTTCTTCTAGCAAACCAGTAGGCGAACTCGGGCATGGTGGCCCACATTTGTAATCTCAGCATTGCGAGGGGACAACAGGCAGAAGTTTGTGGGTAGAGAAAAGGCTTAGGATGAAAGGCAGCAAGGTCACAAACAGTTTCTCAAGGCTCGAGAGTTTACCAGTGGCGGGGACCTAAGGTGAGCCAACTGGGGTGTGTGCCTCCGTACAGCGCAAAGTGCCCTTCGCCTGTGCAGGGCAGAAGCCCAGGCTCCTTAGGGCAGTTCCCGGCACTTCAGAGCGGTTGCAAACGTCACTGAACTGCTTCCTGTAGCTTCCGAATTTTACTATTCCTATGCATACTTCAGATATAATGAGCGGTCAGAAAATTCAAAGCAATGAACACCTCTGCTCCTGAGTGTCTGCCCGAACTTCCAGATCACTCTTAACTTCTTAGAGTCGCTGTGACTGAGGCATCACAATGAGCTCTGCAGTGAGAGGAATTCCTTTTCCTCTGCCAGGCACCTTAGCATTTACTTAAGAAAATCCCCCAAAATACTACCAGAGGATGAAAGGATCTTAAAACACTGCAAAGCTAGAGCTGGAAAGATTTAACTCATTTGTGGAGGCTGGCCTAACAACAGCGTTTCTCATTCCTTCATTCAATCTTAACACACAATAAAGGAACGGCACTCCGTCGTCGACTTGAGCGCTGGAGTGGGAACTGAAGACCCAGAAAGCTGGCTCGCCCTCCCAACGCAGGTCCCTCCAGCCAGACAAGACGGTCGTCCCCGGGGCCCCGCAGGCCCCCTCACCCTCCTTCCACTCGCCACGATACTCCTCCCCGCTGGAGTAGGTGAAGGACCCTTGTGTCAAGGTCATGGTGGCAGCTGACAGAAGAAAAGGGTGAAAACTGTAGGAAATAAAAGAGGAGAACCGGAAGCAAAAGGGGGCCGAAAGAAAGGACTGAAAAAAAAATTTGTAGAAGCTGCACAAAGATTTGTAGATATAACATAAAGGCCACCAGCCTGATACAGCGTACTTTGGATACATCTGATAAAACATCTTCCAAGTACCCTTATCCTTCCACTTGTCTTCAAAGTTTTCAGCCTGATCCTGTTTTCTATGACCTGGCATGGACATGTAGACTTAATGTACTGTGATTTAGCTGATGTATAAAATATAATCTCTTCCTCAGAGAGGTTACAATCTGATAAAATCAGCAATTAAAAGCCAGGCATGGTGGCGCACACCTGAAATCCCAGCACTCAGGAGCCAGAGGCAGAGGCAGTGGATCACTGCGAGTTCTAGACCAGCTTGGGCTACAAAGTGAGCTAAAGGCCAGCCTGAACTGCACAGCAAGACCTTGACTCAAAAACACCAAAAAAGAAAAAAGAATCAGCAACTGAAGCACTGATTTATATAGCATAGTTAAAATGCCAACTTAGATGGCAGAAATGAACAAGGACAAGGGACAGGCAGAATTTAAAATGAGCA